TCAAATTTGGCGGGATCCGAGTCTGCCGAACCCAGGGCGGCGCGAGGCGAGCGGCGCACGCGCAAAATGGCCTCCCGGCGCCCCGCGGCCCTGGCTCACGCGCAGGGCCTGGCGGAGCCCCCGCGGCGCCGTGGTAACCGCGGTCTGCACGGTAGCTCTTAACGCTCCTCCGAGAGCGGCCGGTTAAAAAATAAGGACGGGGAGCATGGCGGTTTCCTCCTTAACGTGTCCTGTTGGTAAAGGCTCCCTGACCGGGAAGACAGCGCGGCCGGGAAGGGGAGGTCGTTTTTCTCCAGGCGGTCGTCCTGTGCCTTTTCCATCGGGCACCAGAATATAAGAAGCCATTTCTTTCTTGTCTTTCTTTTTCTTTCTTTCTTTCTTTTTTTTTTTTAAGCCGTTGCTCTTTCCAGCCTAATCACCCTCGCCCCCGCTTTTTCTTCCGAGCGGCGCACTGCGCTCCTGTCTTCGGCTTTGTTTGAGTGTCTTCCACTGTTGGGGGGCATTGAGACCAGACACTGTAGTTCCTGGACAGATTTCTCTATCTCCAGTAACATCTTTATCCATCTCGGTAACGTCCTCATTCCTAACATCCCAATTTTCGACGCGTTTCCCGAGGACCCTGGTCCGAGTCTTCCAGGTCTCTGCTCTCGATCTGAGTTCTGGCTAAGTTAGAGGGACAAAACTGAGAGCACCAAATAGGCACCGACCTTGAAATCATGTATTCTGTGAAGTTTGGATTTTATGATGACCCAACAATCAGAGCAAGAAGTCATCGTTTTCCTGAAATGTAGGTGACTCCAAGGGAACGACACCTGCTATTTTTGAAAGTTCCTTCTCACAGTGTCTGGAAGCTATATTTTAAGAGAATAATGGGAATAATTTAACTCATTGGGAGTTCTATTGAATGCTTACTATTTATTTGGAGAGTTAAATGAGATTTCGGGATGAGTCTTCCACATGCACTTGAACTTATTCAGAAAATTCAAAAGGATCTTAGAACAGCCTTTGCAGTGATAAATGACTTTTGATGTCGTCGACTTGATGAAGACGAGGTTGAGAGTGAAGTCTTCATGTGAGACCTCTAGAAATTGCACACTAAGAAAAAGAAACTGGTGCAAATAAAGGAAATCCGTTTCAAGAACCAAAAGAAGAAAAAAACGTTAAAAAAAAATTAACTGCGGAAACAGGAAACACTCGACTGTGTAAACATTTTCGGAGACTTTCATAATCAAAACTGGGCGATCTTGAGATTTGCAAGGAGACCCACAGGCTCAAGGTATTCGCGGGGGTATTTCCCAAATCTGACTTACTAGGAGGTTCTAATATGTGATACTTTCTCTTCCTTGTAAAGGACTCATCTATCTGAATCGTGGTCCCAGTTTAATACAAGGTGTTATTTGGGAGGAGTCAGAATGTTTTTAGAGCGATCTTAGAAACAATCACCTGTTGTGCTATTCATCTTATACTTGAAGAAACATCCTCAAGTGAAATGACGCTCTCTAACCCAAAAGCTTTATGTTGAAGCTGCCTTCTGCACTCTTTGCACATCAGATGTCTTGGAAGTACATACTGTTGTTAAATAGGATCATCTTAAATGTAATTTCATCAAGACCTTAGCTGTGGATAAAGTGTGAGGAGGACTGTATGAGGGAAACAATCCTAGTATTTCAGAATATGATGTAGCCCCCATTTCTTAGAAGCACTAGACTAAATCAGAATTCCCAACAATCATTCCAGGGGCAATGAGAAAAACATATATATTTACCAAACCTTTAAACTAGAAAAGAAATGAAAAAAAGAAAAAAGACCCACTTCCATCATCCCAAGATTCTAAGAGACTGGGTCCCATGTGCAGAGTTTTTCTAAAATTAAACTTCCATCCCCTCAAAAGATTGCCTTAGGTATTAAAAAAAATTTTTTTTTTTCATTTCTTGTTGGCCATTGGAAAGTAGTATTTCACATGGGTTCTATGTTGGTTTCACGAAACTTTATCTTGATAGGCCTATACCACGTGTCTTCTGAAACTCCAATGCCAAACTATTAGGAAAAGAGTAAGAGGAGAAGGACGTAGGGAAGCCCCTGCGAGCTTACTCTGTATGTCGCATTGTACCTCCAGAAATCCTAACATTTGCCCGTATGAATATTGAAACGAAGCAATATGGTTGGTAGGTTAAGTCAACTGAAGGGCAGCTTTCCACCCCCCCTGCCCCCCCACTCAGTGCAATTAACGGCCGGCAATTTTAAAAGCAAAAAGTACTTGCAAAGTGGTATGCATGTGTAAAGCAAGATAGATCGCTATTTACACAACAGTAGTAAGCCAGCCTCATTCTCTTTTTGCATTTAAGCTAAAATCTGTGAAATCAATTTAGGCATTTTCTGTGGAATATTTTGTTAGCACTAACTTTGTGGTATAGAATCCTAGAATACTTTTACAGAAACAAAAGCCAAACTTAAATCCGACTTTTCACGTACCCTCCTTTTACTGCTTAGAGTCACAAAGTTAGCAGTTTTGATATGGGTTGTAAGATTGAAATGTTTTAAAGTGGTAGCTTAGCAAAAGTTTTCAATCTTAATTGTCAGAACTGTGAAAGCTGGTTATGGGGGAATGCAAAACGTAATCTTCTGTTTTATTAAAAGACAGAGACATTTTAGTTGAAATACCCTTTAACGCTTAAGCAATTTTCAAAGGGAATGGGGGGGGGGAATCCTTTCAAGCAAAATAAATGCATGTTTTCAAGAATGGTAAAACAGTGTTAAGGAAGCCATAAATGCAATATCTGATATTTTAATAAGGAATTCCAAAAATAAGTCCATCATAAAAAGGTTGAGATGTAAAGTCTTTGGGTTCTGTGTTGAGTTCACAACTTGATTTTGTGTAAGTCAAGCAACAGGTCCACTAGCATTTGAAGTTTTTTTAGTCTTTGAAAAATATTTTTTCATTCTTTATATACATGATCATCCAAAGTAAAAATATCATTTGAAATTTCCATTAACTAACTTTGCTTTCTTAGATAACATCATGAAAAACTTGAGAAGCCTAGAAAAACGAGTTAAATTCACCAAAATTGGCAAACATGGGTAACTTTTACTTCAAAGATTGTAGAGTAAATAAACAGATACATCTTTCAACTGGGCTTTCAAGCTATTATACAACAAAGCATGTACTTCTTAGCAACATCACTATTTAAGACAGCAATTGATTCTCTTTAGTTTTTTTACCTGTTGTAATCCACAATAGGGTTTCCAAAACTTCTGCACATTGTGCTTTTCGTATCAAATTTTATTAAAGTCTTAGCTATTTTCTAAATGAATATCCTTTTTATTGGAATTTCCCCATTACAAATGAAATTTAATTTTACATCTATAATTAGAAACAACACTTACAATGGGACTGTACAAATTTAGGTCAAAATAAAAATATATGTATTTCGTGGTTTCATAAAACTTCATTTACTGTATCTTTAAAGAAAGCAGAAATAACAGCAATATATGTAAAAGTAATGATTTAATGACTATAAGCAAGACAAAGCAATAGAATTGTGCTTCTTTTGCAGACTGGGGACAATGAAATGTTTAGCTACAATTTTCCCATACAAACATGAAACGATATTCATATAGAATAAACACCTTCACAAATAACTGATGGCTGATGAACACACACCAAGTTCGACCAAAGCAAAACACAAACTGAAAACTGTTGGGATTATTCATATTTTAAATTCAACATGTTCACTCTGTTTAAAAATTAATACCTGGAGAAGCTAAAAATAAATTGCTTCTATTTCAAGACAATAGAGAGAGGACATATGTCATTGTTCATAGCTGTAAATGCAACTCTTAACTTTGAAATTCCTGCTATCCAACATATTAAAATAATTTCAGATAAAATGCCTTCTTCCAGCAATTTCCTGGTTTACTTAAAAATTTGTTTTAGAATTACAGTGATGGATACGCATTTTAAAAACACATTCATTCCATCAAAAGCAATAGGAAATGAAGACACTATTTCCAAATTCCTTAGTTAAAAGTTTTTCTTTACTGCAACAATTTAAAAAGTAAATATGTATTACTAGAGAAAATCAGTATTATAATTTGCCAATTGCTTCCAATGAAATAGAATTTAGAATGAGAAAGCCACATTAAAAATATTCTGTGCTGATAAGGCTCAAACAGAGGGTATCTGCAAAGGTCGAACCAGTTGGGAGAATTTTAACAACCATTTCTGAATGCATGAAACACAATATTTTCTTTATAGTATTTATAAATATATCATACAATACTGTTTCCTGCTATGTCATATACCAATATGGCATTGTACAACAAGCATAATGCCATCTGATTCTTACAAAAGCGAATCATTTAAACAAGTCAGTAAAATAAACGGTAGTACCCGCTTTTAGGCATACAGATTGTAAAACTGAAGTTTACTTTCCTTTGATCGGTTTTGTGTAGCAACAGAGAAGTAAAAATCAAACAGGAATCAAAATGGCTAAATATGCAAGAAGTCGTTATTCACAGTGACATGGCTACATAGAATGCATTATTCTATGCATATTCTTTCCATTTGTTGAATTTCAAGATAAAAAGCACTTGTTTTCTACAGGTTCACAAAACAGCATAATAACAAGAACAATCAAGGAGAATGTAATGTAGGCGTTAGTTGAGATTAACAAACTATGGCCCAATGTTTATATCCACTGCAGAGTATTTTCAAATCCGAACCACGGTTACAGAAACCATTTCCCATCTTTCCTAACACACAGGAAAACATCTTGCCTGCCTTCTCAGAAACCAATTTGTAGGAACAATCTTTCTTTTCGATTAACGTCCATATGAATACCACATCTAGTCCATCTTTTATAGCCAAATTTAATGTCACTACAAAAGAAAGCAAATTGGACGATAGTCACGTGTATTAGCATCTCTAAAGCTGTAATGGCATGAAGATATCTATATAAATCAGGGACTTAAAATTTTTTTTTCCTTAACAGTCTCAGGTATCAACCAGAAGAAGTTGCTGACGACCCATTTACTGACGATTTTCGAGGTCTATTGGCAAAGGAAGATTGGTGGTTACCGCTGGGGCTGCTGCTGGTTCCGTTCATAGTACTGGAAATGTGAGGAAACTGAGGGTGAGGAGACTGAACTGGAGTGCTGGGGCTAGGCAAACAAGAAGAGGTGGAGGGGATACCTCCTGCTGGGCTGTTGGCCTTGTCACTCCCAGAGTCACTTTCCAGTTCTCCAGCATTTGTCAGTCCATCTCTCTGGTGACTGATCTTCATTCTTTTACAAGTAGGTCGAACTCTGTATTTCAAAGGAAGCGGACCATTCTACAAAGTTAAAAGGAAAAAAAAAAAAAAATCAGTCCTCTTTAAATACGGTTTACCACAATAATCTTCAAGTATTAGATATGCTACTTACCCTTCTCCAGGTGTAAATGTAGGCAATATCCATTAGTGTATAGTAATCCTTTAAAGGTTCCTCTTCATACATGACATCGATCTATTGAAAAATGATACTTCGATTATTAAGTACCATAAAGAACAAAGGTAAATCCAGATTTTCTTGGTCATCTAAATACAATCCAAAAATGCTTCAAAAGACATTCTCTCCAAACACTTGGACAAAGAAAGACTCCCCCTGGAAACTTTAAAAGGAAAAGAGGAGAAATATTTCCTGAAATTATGAAGGAATTTATATTCATAGCATAAAACAAAATTCAGACTAACCACTTTAAGAGATAGTTCCAATTAAGTCCTGTATTTAAAAAAATCCACATTAAATGCACCAAGACTATAAGGCAGATACCTGGAAAGTATTAGGTATGTCCATTTTACTTCTGAGAAACTTTCTTAGGTGCATCACAGTCATTGCTGCTGGGCAACGTAAATATCTCTTATCATTCACCTAAGAATACAGTTAGAAAAGTTGTTTCTTAAAATTCTTTTCAGCTAAGAAAAAAGTTTTAATTAGATTGCCCCAATATGATAAAAGGTATGAATACCAAAGCTGAGACTGACTATATTTTCAACTACACTTTGAGTTTACTATTATTGATACTAAATAAACAGATTCCTGACATAGTAAGAAAACTTTAAATAAAACAAAGCATTAAGCATTAATTCTTTAAAGCATTTTGTAAGAATAGTAACTACATACAAAATAAATTCTATCTAGTTACTATCAGATATAAATCACTCTTAAACATCAAATATGATCATTTTCTCCCATTTGACAGCATCATCTGGCCCTAGAATATTCTAAAGCACAGCATACACCCTCATAAAATCTAGAAGCCAAATGCTGTTTCTTCTATAGGTTTTTGTGACATGAAACATACCTCCTCCTTAGGTTTCTCCTTGTCTTTGTTTACTTTCCGATCCAATCTAAGAAACATAACTTTATTAGTGGAACAATGTACCCATGAAAGGATTAGCATAAAACCCATTTCCTACGAAATTTACCTATTCTGGTCGAAGAATTCAATGGATAAGCTTATTATCTCATCATCAGTTATAATTCTTTTATCTTCATCTGCAACTTCTCCTCTATCTTCGTTAGAGCCATTGGCAGCTATGAAGACATTTTGAAACTCAATTTTAGAAAATTAAATATGTAATTAAAATATTACGTAGGAAGATGGAAGTGGGACTTTAAATTAAACTCAATTTTAATAAATTACTGAATAATAAGTTCTCCCTCCAAATAAAATGTCTTTTCCCTTCTAAAGATTTTACCATCAGCTGAAGGATGAGCTGCATAAAAATCCCTTCTTCTTTTCATTTCATCTAGAGGAGGAAAAAGAAAGTCTTAAACATTTGTTATAGTAGATAAAACAGATAAATACTTTGTAAAAACTCATTTGTAACCAAGTTACTCACTTTTGAAAAGCCCTGGAACTAATTTGTATACAATATCTTGGAGAGTTTTATCTGACCTGAAAAAGAATTAGAAAAGTAAATTCTTAATTATAATGGCAAAAACCTTAGATGCTCATATCAGTTACTATACATTCTTCGTTTTCTTTCTCCTATAGTATTTTACTTGATTGTGAGAGTCTCCATCAGTAAGATAACAATTATGAGAATAAAATTTCTTTATGTAGTAGTACTCTTCAATCAATAGAAAAATACTTTTATTTTCTATTCATTAATTCTTCACATTTCATGGAGTCAAGAGAAGTGTGCCTTTCAAGTTATTAAATTAGCTAATAGGAAAGAATAAAGATAAAAGAATGGAAGTATTTTAAACACACTCATTCCTGCTTGTCATAAAGTCAATAAAGCAATGCAGAAATGGAGAACGAATTCAGATTTTTAAAGATGTGTAAATAAAAACCTTAAAATCCACTTGCACAGTTCTCAACTTTGTCTAAAGTCAGTCATCATTAAAATGGCAAGAAATGAGCAACCTCCACAAAGCATACACATCAGGTGAAGATTCAAGGGTAAATTTTGTGTGAAGAAATAAAACAGGATAGCCTTCACTAAATTATGCAATTCCAGTAACAATTACAGACTAATTTTAAACATTTTCTTACCTTATATTCAGTAGTGGTCTGGTTTTGTGAACTTGGACATCACAGATAGGACAATACTTGCTGGTCTCCAAGTAACGTACAATACATGTTTTACAGACTAGACGTAGAAAAACGAAGTTTTGTAAGTTTAGAGATTAAATGCTAAGCATTAAAATCAGGGTCAAATATGGAAAACTAGTAGTAAGAAAATGCTAAACGCCAAAAGGTATTTCCAATTAAATAAACTTCATCAATATCCTGAGAACGCTTGTCCATTACATACTTGTACTTATAAAATGTTTAAAATACGCATTAACAAAAATTCACCAAATCCAAGAGTAGAAAACAACTCCATCACTTTGTACCAACATTCTCAAGGACTGAGGGAATTGTTATAGTTTTCAAACATCAGAAAGAAATGTGAAATACACATGACACGAAAAAAGGTCTAAAACTTTGTACTTACAGGAATGTAGACATTCTATTATGGTTGTGGCATCAATGAAGTACCCTCCACAAAGCACACACATTAGGTGGGGATTTAGCTCAGTGATCTTGATTCTGGTTGTTCGATGCATTTCTGCTTGATAAAAGATCCTGCAAGACACAGAAATATTGGCTATAATCCACAGAAAGAGAAACGAGATTATCTCCCAACTTCTAGTAACCGTACACTCTGAAGTGCTGTGGAGTTCATAAAACTCGTTTAAGACTGTACAGCTGGGCTGTCCCAACGTTTTCTACAGAAGGAATTTACTAATCAGACCTAAATCAATTACAGTGAAATGATGAAAGAGGATTCAACTAAAATAACTTCTGGTCCCTCAGGTCATTCCAGGAGGGAGAAGAAAAGGTCCGGGGTGGGGGCTGGGAGCTGAGAGTATTCGGGTCTCTTTCTTCCATTTGTCCTCTAGCCTAGCAGCCCCAAGGCTGCTGCAGACGCCACACAGTCCCCGCAGATATTTACCAACCGCCAGGGCTTGTTCCAGGTCTCCAAATTTATTGTAAAACTTCCTTATGGATCTTCAGTTGAAAATCCGTGAGCATGCCCTGGCTTCCCAGGGGTTCTTGTTGTTTTAGGCGGTTCCAGCAACCAGAACCTGGCACGTTTTCACGCGATACAAAGGGAAAACAAATTCTGCCCTATCTGCATCCCTGGCATTTCCGGAGCTGGGTGCTGGGGCCGCAGAAGCACCTCCAGTCGGCCTCGGGCTGGGGCCTGAGCGCGCGGACGCCCGGGGGCCGGGATGCGAGGGGCGGATCCGGCGGCGCCCGCGGCTCCGTCTCGCTCCGGATTCGGAACTCGCCTCTGTCGGGGTTTCCATAGCAACTTACACTTACACTTGGCATCCGGCCACCGCTGCAACTCCGCGCGGAGCCGGGCCGAGCCCGGAGCTTCGGCAGGCGTGCGGGGCGGCTGGGCGGCGGGGCGGAGGCGGCGGCGGGCGCGGGGGAGGGGCCG